CTAAATAGTTTCTTGGTCTCTTCAGACAGGGTCTCGCTATGTAGTTCAGGCTGGTCTTTTTTTTTGTTTGGTACCAGGGATCACACTTGGGACCTTGCACTTGCGAGGCAGACGACGGAACCACTGAGCTAAATCCCCGGCCCTTAGGCTGGTCTTGAACTCACTCTATAGGCCAGGCTGACCTCAAACCAATAGTGCTCCCTCTGCCTCAACCTCTCTAGGGCTGCTATTACAGGCATAGGCCCAGCCTACACCTATTTTATAGATATGTAAAGTATTATAACCTATGAAAGTAATTTGGAGACTTTTCACAAAAGTATTTACATATAGATATATATGTATGTATATTTCTTACATATAAATAAAAACAGAAAAAATAAAAATCTATCATGGCCATTCTATGAAAAAACAAGATTAAAACCAGATAAATACAGATCTACTTGCTTGCATGAATGTTTATGATCAAATATGATGGTCATTACTCGGAAGAGTGGATATGCTTCAATATCATTAGTCCCTCAGTACAGCAACCAGAACTGTAATGATGCCAAATGGAATTTACAGTCCTAATTTTGGTTATTTTCTTGTTTTGTTTAGTTATTAGAGGGAGGGGTAATACATAGTCTCTATTAGGTCTGTTGTTTAAGTTGTGTAAGATTCTTAAAGTTAGAGGTTTTGAAATGATTATGGCCTAGCTAGAAAGTAACAGGCTAGACTTTTAAGTGAGAGCCGACTTGACAACATGTTAAATTGCATATGGCATTAATACAGGACATCAGAGCTATATGACTTTATACATCATCTAGGATAGGTAAAGATCAATAATGTTTCTGCAGTGACTCTATGCTAGATATTAGGTGTTACATCAAATGCTCATTTTCTAAGCAGAGGGACTCTTGAAAAAAAATCACCATTTGTCACATCTTCCATCTGTTTGGCCAGATAAAAATAAGACACAGTCCGAGTAGGAATTTATTTTGAACTACTGGCTTTCTCAGACTTGGTACAGCTCCTTAGCTGACAGCCACTAGAGCACTCCCTGGTCACTACGTGGCGAGTTCTTGGCCAGAGCGTGATATCTAATGAGATCTTCCTTCTGCCCTGGATCTGAAAATAGAGAGTGGTAGCTTCTCACTGACACCAACCATAGTCACAGAAGCCTCCCTGATCCTATTCTATTCATGATTGAAAAGACCCAAGATACCTTATCACCACGAGGGAGTCAGGGTCTCCAAATCTTCATGATTGTTAGTACTATGTTATGATTACCTGCTTCCCACTGAACAGGTAGCTGTACGCACTTGTCACATGACTTGCTCCCTGGAGAATTCTCTGATTATTGTATAATGGAATGTGTGAAGTCACTAAAACAAAATCTATTACTGGAATGAATTAGACTTATATGACATATTATTTTGGTAATATTGATCATGAGCATACCTGAAACAAATACATAGTGTACGTGAGATATAATCGAGAAAAGCAAAGCCCAACGGAGATGTAGCTGCTCTGGAGTCCACTGGCGCCTGTCCTATGCCGGGTCACTCACTGCCCACACAGGGGACACAGAGAAAGTAATCCAACCTCATCTTTTTTTTTTTCCACAGATTTTACCAAATTTAAAAGGTTATAGAAAGCATATTACAAAAATCTTTTTTGAAATAAATTTGACAACTTCTAAGAAGTACCTTGGAAGACAAATTAATGAAACTGACTCTGGAGGAAATATAAAATTTGAGTAGCACCTATTAAAGAAAGTATATTCCTAGCTTGAAAACCTACCTATAAGACAACAGCAGGCTCATAAACATTTTAACTGATAAATTATATCAAACATTTAAAGCAGAAAAAAGAAGGAACACTTCTCCCCTCATTTTAGGAACTCAACGTTGTGCTAATCCTAAAACTGGATAAAGATAATAGGAGAAAAAAGTATGAACTTAGATAGAAATTTGTTTAACAAAACAAACTATTAGAAGTCAGATCTGGCAGTATGTAGAAAGTGGTTTTATTATAGGGATGGCAGTGAATCCAACCTCATCTTCCCTTCATTTCCTGTCAGGGTTCTGCTCGAGCAATCTCAAAAGCAGTTATGTTAAATTAGTAGAACTGTAAACTCTGTGTTGTAATAGTTACTGAGCTTTCCCCTCAAGTCCTATAGCATTCAAAGTGCTTTCGACTCTGATTCTCAATCATGGAGCACTTAGGGAGAAAGTTACTTCTCTACACTTGTTTGGTAGTGCTGTGCTTGGGAATTATTCTGCATCAACAGGACAACGGAACGGCTCACACTTGGATTCAATTTTCCACTTATATCGTACTTTAACCATCTGTAAAAGAATGTTTCAGTTTGATGTTAGAACTGTGACTTGATAAGGACTGTAAGGTAATTAATTTTATCAGCTTGACTGCTGGGGCACAGGTTTGATGAGAATAGTAAGTAATTTCCATTAAATTAGACGATACATGAAGATGACACACTAGTTTGGTAGAGAGGATATTTCATTTTGGTGTTCCTTTTTAAAATTCCAGAGCTCTCTCATTTAACATGTAAATTAAATATTCAGTTTTAAATAGTCATGGGGTGATTTGTGCTACATGAATACAAATCAATGCTAATGTAATATATTTTAACACCTGGCCAATTGCTGGAATGAAGTTGGGAGGGACATTCTTCTTATAATACCCATTTTGAAATACAGAATTTTATACTACAAAACCCTGTGCACAGTCGGACAATTCTACAGAGCACTTGAAAGAAAGATGATTCAGCTGTGAGAATTTATTAAGTGATTAATGTATCTCCGTTCATGTGACTAAAGCTAAAAATATTTGCAGCCAAGTGTGGTGGTGTATTCCTCTAATCCCAGCACACAGGAGGCTGAAGCAGGAAGATGATGAGTTCAAGGGCAGCCTGAGCTAGGTAGCAAGCCCTACCTTAGGGGAAAACAGACCAAAATATTTTCAAATTATCTAAAATAGCTCTTCAAGGAAAAAAGACCCTTCATAATCACGCGGATTTCCCCTGTCGCGGTGCCCGCCTCCTCTGCTCATCGTCCCGAAGGGAATCTAACACCGCCCAGAGCAGCATGAGCCAGACAGGACCGGCTGCCATCCACCCAGTGGCCCACAGCACCCAGTGCGGATCTCGAGGGTGGGCAGATGTGCGTTTGGGTCCACTGCACCTCACTGAGACCCCGGGCAAATCTTTCAGAGGACTTTGCCCTGACACAGCCCTGGGCGCTGACGGGCTCTGGTGCAGCGAGAGGCCTGCACAGCTAAAAGGTGCCGGAAGGCGGGTGTTCAGCGTCACCAGCCATAGGACTGCTGTGCAGGCCGGGCGGACCGAATGATGAGTGGCGTCTTCGTGGTGAGAAGGTCGTCCCTGCCTCAGCCCGGGGTGAAACAGTTTGGGATGTGAGGAGCCAGTTCAAAGGCCCTGAAGCTTGGGGTGCTCAAGAATAGATAACAAGGGACCAGGAATTTGGCTCAGTGGTTCCACTGCCTGCCTTGCAAGCTCAAGGTCCCGAGTTCGATCCCCAGTACCAAAAAAAAAAGAAGCATAGATAACAAGGTGATTCATGAAAGTGACCATTTCTGAGAAGTACTGAATTGGTCAGTGTTGGAGAGAGAGCCCAGGGCTTTTAGAAATTCCATGGGTGACATTAATTATATTATGTAAACTGGTTTAAGAGTCAGGTAACCTGGGACCCAGAAAATTCCAGTAGCTTGTGTAACACATCGGGTTACCTAACTCTCTGCTAGGACTTCACCACACACCGACTGAGCAAGCGCTAACTGCGGCTGCTCCTTCCTGGGGAGGCGGGTTGACCTCGGGACAGACTCCCCGCAAGGCCCACCCCCAGTTCTACTCAGCATTGCAGCCAGGGACTTGGAGAGGCAGCAGAGGAGTAAGACAGAAACTCGAGTATGTGGAAAACAGAGAATACGCTGGCTGGGTCAGGGTGGGCAGAGGGGAGAAGCAAGCAGATATTGGCTCCCACAGGGGAACTTCAGAAAGTGGGTCAAGGATTAGCAGTCTGAAGAAAACAGTTTCCAAAGGGAACTAATGGGTGGCAGAACCAGGTCTGCTCACAGCTTCTAAAGCATTCCAAGATCAAAAATTTACTAAGTGTGGGCCTGAAATGTAGTGTGCATTTTGAAGAATTTCTTTCAGATTAATTGAAAACATCCTATCTATCTATATAATAGCTATGCTAGGCATTATAAGCAGTTTTCAGCCTTTAAAAATTTTCAAAGCTTTTATCCCACTGCAACAAATTTTATGATACTTATTGTCTCTCACTCTCCTCTTGCAAATGGCCATAAATAATTCATAGCAGCTTTTCCCCCCAGTTTTTCTACAAGTTAAAAATGTTTTCATTATTGAATCCATAAACGGCCGTTTTAATTTCATTGTTATCAATTTTTTCATTCCTGAAGACTATGGGTAGACTTTATTAATAATGATTAATAGTCAACCTAGCCTACAATTCATAGAGAGAGATTAAGGGCCAAAGGATATTTTCTAACACTGCAATATGGATTTCCATTGTTCATAGAGTCAGGGTGATTTCACAGTAGAATTTCAGGGAAGAATTTGAGAATGCAAGAGCAAGAAATAATGATTGATTTTCATACCCAAAACATGCCTATAAAATATGCTTTGTTATTCTAGTAAATAGCAGCATCATATTCAAATCACTCTCCTTTTAATTATTTGCATTTTTTAAGTTAAGGAAATAGATCGGATACAAATATTTCACCCAAATAGGAGACTAGAAGGCAAGGAAATAGGATCTCTGGCATCTGCTAAGTGTCATTTAAATATATTTCTTTTTTTTTTAAATCCGAAATTCAATGTCCGTTTTAAATATGAGGAAATCAAAATCTAACCCTGGCTTGCTCAAGACAGAAACAAGACAGACTCGGGTCAGACTGGGAGGCAGGGGGAGGCCCAGCAGTGGGCAGCAGCGGTGCCCGCGCACACTGGCTCCTACCTGAAGTGCAAGTCCTTAAAGGAGAACTGAGTTTCAATGATTCCAGTCGTCTTCACTCGGGAATGAAGAACATCTTGCTCATTTGGCACATATCCAGGAGCAGCTATTCTGTCTAAATCATTAAGGTAGCTGATAAAACAAAAAGAATATAGATAGATGTTTAAGGTTGCCTTGGAAGACCCCAGGATTCAGTACAAGTGAACTTTTAATTTAGAGTCCATTAAAAAAGATAAACTCCAGACCAGTGCTTTTCACACTTTGTTATGAGAATGGTGAGAGTTTGGTAGCTGAGATTCTGCAGTAGGCAGAGCACGAGTGTGGCTCAGACTAAGCTCTGGGGCCTCTGCCCAAGGAGTCAGATCCACGCTCTTCAGCTTGTGTGCTGGGAGGCATATATGATACATGTGCTGGGATGGGCATAGCAGTGGGAGAGAAGATGTCCCGCATGGCCTGGGACACGTCCACATGGAAACCAAAATGAAGGTCCCACTTGATCAACGCAGACATACAAATATATAATGGACTGTCCTGCCAGGCTTGTAGTACAGGGCACTGCACTGTCCTCAGAATTCTGTAACTTGAATTTAGCCACTTCAGATTTTAAGAGGGTGATTGGCTTAAAAATCAAAATCTGAAGATTGTTATTTTTGCAGAAGCCTCATAATTTAGGACTAAGGACCACGCTGACATCCAGGTGGCTCCGTAAGAGAAGTGCCCTGTCTCCCTGGGTGGCCCACAGTGGACACTGCAGACTGCCCGACCCAGCACTTCTGGGGACACGGACCGAAGGCACTGCATCCCCCCACCTTCTTCCACGGCTCCTGTGGGGTCTGAGCCCCTCTGGAAGACAGGCCAAGAATCCTCATCTGATCAGGCTGAGCACAGATGCTCTTGTCTGTCTTGGACCTAGAGGTGGTGAGGAGCAAGATTAAGTCTGAGTAAGTTGTGTTTTCTATAAAAGTCTGTGAGATCCATGGAAGGAAACTGCTCTTAGCTTCTTGATCCGTGAAATCAAATATGTCTACAAATCAAAAACAAGCGCTTTATTGATGAGTTTCCCGTGAAAGCCACTCTTCTGGACTGTTGACATTGAAGTTAGTAGCCTAGAAATGTGGCTATTTCTCTGAGGAATTTTAAATATAAATAACAGTAGCAATTTAATGTTTTATGACAATTTACCCCTTACATTGACCCACGCTTCCATAGCTTACAGAAAAATAAAAGGTTGGTGAAGATCCGTTGAGCCAGAATTGGAGTCAGCAGAATAGTAGTTATTCTCAGGGGTTGAAATTTTTCCAGGATTTAAATTAAGGGACTGCTGTGTCTTAGCATCAAGAAAATGCCTTAGAAAGTTACTTTATCATTAAAGAATAAATTCAAGAGCAGTACGGTAATCTATTCCTTGAGGATCTTTTCCCTTTTAACATGAAACAAGTTAAGAATGGAAAATGGTCCAGAGGGACTTTGGTCAAGAGAATAACTAAATAGATAAATCACTTCTTAGAAACATTAAAATGTAAAAAATGTATCACTATTATTTTATTCTAATAAAGATTTTAAAAAATGGTACATCAAGATAGAAATGTATCAGAGAAAGTATTGGCAACAGTTTGTAAAAATTCATTTTGTATTCGAGGAAGCAAATCATTGTGAACTTTTTATTGACCTAAGTCTGCACACACTGTAGGTATATAACTGGTCAGTCAGTTCATGCCTGACTGAAAAATAAACAAATATGTCTCTCAAAATAGAAATTAAATTCACTTTAATGATAGTTAAATGAAAGCTTTGGTAAACACACATTTTGATGAACTTTTCTTTGAGTGTATAAATGATTTCAGGCAAAGGAGAGGTCTTAGGGAACTGACAAGCATTCAAAATGCTTATTTTAATAAACAAAGATAAGATTTGGGTATCCACGACTGCAGTCCAAAGCTTAGACCTGAAACCATTAATATAAATGGTTTAATTCACTTACAAATACTCAATTCTTTTTCCAACGATATAGAAACAGTATTTCACCTGTAAGTCCATCTTAATTCCTAGCACAGGTGGAATTTAGATGCACAGGCGATGAGCCCACCCACAGACCCTGCGTCTTAACTCAGCCCCGTGCAGTCCCTGCCTGACCTCTCTTCTTGCTGGAGCTCAGGAGCTCCTTTGCTGCAACCACGGCGTTTCTTTGCATGTCTTTCATTCCCTCTCCTCAGGTTCAACTTTTTTTTAGCCTCAACTTGAAAGGTCTCTAGGTTAGAGAAAACAACAAATACCTCACTTTCACCCACAAGCCAATAAATAAATACAAACGATAGAGACCTTTCTCTATACAACGTATATGAAATATGCATCCAATACACTGCCAGTCTAATTCTGTACTTAGGGTTACAATACGAATGTAATTCAGTATTTGTTTCAGAAAAAAAATCTGCTCTTAATTTTTGTAAGAAAGCAGGTTCCGTTCAACAATTTTGCTCAGCAAGCTTTTGTTAACTTGTCCCTAAGGACACTTCTAAGCAGAAAAATGTGTTAATACTTTATTCTTTTGGTTTATCTATAAAATATTTATGAGATGCTCCCTGGAGGTGAGAATCAGCTCTTTGATTATTTTCCTGCTGTGCGGATTTTTCTGGTCAAAAACTATCACCATATGAGCCACATCCACAAAACTGATGTGAATTGATGTTCATTGTATTTAACTTGACGTATAGATAAATATTTTAATTTGATTCTTGAGGTGGAGATAAATATTTCACTATGATTCTGTAATTCTGCAGAAAAACTTATTTTATGTAAGCAAATGAATAACTTAAAAGTATAATAAAATGCCATTTTACTTGCTAATTTTAACTACATAAGTTGCAAATAAGTTTTTGCTATTAAAGAACAAATGAGGTGGTAAACACAATTGCAAGTTCATTTCTTTCAATATTGTATGGGAAAACTACTGATTAATTAATATCACATATCCAAAACTAAATAATTAGTTATAGCTCACCATACCTGTCTTTTCCCTCCTCTCTGGAGAATTTAACTAAGATGGGAATGTTAATTAGCTTTTAACTTGCTGTTAGGGCCTTACCGATGATGAGTGTAGGAGGGCAAAGCTTTAGCATCTTTCCCAGAGAGAGAGGGATCCCTTTTACTATTAAAATGCAGTAGACACTGAGATATTCTGGAAAGCTGCTAACAACTTTATGAAATCACAGACTGTCCCCTGCAGGCAACGTGCACGTTGGAATTCAGGATTTAAGACAATAGTGAATGAGTGATGACCAAAAATTGCTTTTCCCCCTAGGATGAATATGGTTTGCTTCCTTTCCAGAATCATTCAGTTTATCTTCGATTAAACATCTCAAGTATCTTGCAAGTTTTATTGCTCTGTCCACCAATGATCCTTTACATGCTTAACTTTTATGGTACCTTTTGTTGTTATTTTCATTTCCTTTGCTTAATTAAGTACTGCTAGTATATTCTGTTAGGGGGTTATCAAAGGATTATATTTAAAATTTTTATACATTCATATACAGGGACAAAAACATGAAATGTTTAGTACTTAGATAATAATTTCATTCATGTGTATATGTGTTTGCAAGGATATACTATTGGAATAGGTTAAGGATGGCTTGCTAAAATAATTATTTTAAGTCATGTTGATAATGAAATTAGAAGTAGTGTCATACCTCCTTATTAGCCATTCCCTTTTGGGTAGTAAATGCTTACTAGATGATACTGGCTGTGAGAATTATGCTGTCTTTCTCCAGAATCCCAAACAATCGTGCAACATACAGCTGTTTTGGAAATCAATAACTATTTTCTTCCAGAATTGTCGATCTTGGTCATCAATCCAGTGAGCTAAAGCATGAGTTACTAGTGAAATTATTCTAAGAGATAACTTCAGTAACATTGGTATAGCTGGAATAAATAGCCCAAAACCTCAGTGTGCATGTGGCCAGTCTGTGTGAGTGTTCTGCTTTGTGTATAATTACTTAATTCTTTTTCATCAAGAGAAGATATGCACCCATGCCAGGCAAATAGTTTCACAATTAGTTATTTTAAATATTTGGTTTTTTTGCATGTCATTTATGTCATGTCATTCATGTTTACTTCTCCAAGGTCATTTGCTTTCCTCATTTGCATCCACGAGTACACACTAAGCAGGATTACAGCTCTTCTTACACGTGATTCAGCCCCATCACCTGGACAATGCGTCACTTACTAGGCTGCAGAGTCGTTGAGCTGGTATTCAGAGGCTCTTTCGAAGCAGGCCTGGATCCCTGGGTCTCGCCACAGTCGCTTGATCACCTCGGCCAGTTGAGCTGTCATGAACCCATCTTCCAGGGCATCTGCCATGGTCCAGAGCTGCTGCTGATCTTCCTGCAGTGACAGTTTCGTGAGAAGACAGAGACACGTCATTGGCAATGGCAGAACATTTTAACTCAGTGATTGTGTCATTCCTTTTGCTAACAATTCCACTGAACATGTTTTCAGAGTGCATTAAGATCATAGAACTCAAATGCCTTAAAGTTCTCCTTTTGCAAAAACTGTAACATGTTACTTGGAGAACTTAGGATATCTTGGCCTATATCCCTGACTTCTCAGTATGATGACAGAAAAAGTAACAATATTTGGGCACAGATCCATTTAGTCCTCAGAGAGGTAGAAGGTTAGGGTCAAAGAATAACAAAACTGACCTCCTGGCATTTTGTCTTCCTTAGATGATAGCAATTTTTAAAAAATTTTATTCGCAAGTGTTTGGGTTATATAACGTCTATACTCCTTTAGGGACTTGGTGCGTGTACGTAACAAGTCTTCATTCCTTTCTTTTCATCCGCTCTCCCCTCCTCATCTCCTGAGCCTCTTCCTTTCTATCTGGTCCGTGTTGCCACGCACAGTGTTGACACTCCTTGTGAGGAATTGGCCGGTACATGACGCATCGTAAACCTTTGTTCATCTCCTTTCCCTCCTTCCCTCCCTTAACCCTCCATCCCCGGGGCCCCTTCTCCACTGAGCAAGATCTCTCTCCCTACTTCCTGTTATTGATCTTTCAGTTTGCGCTTTATACTCTGAGTTCCTCATATAAGAGAAATATGTCATACTTAAGCTGGTTCGTCTCATTTACTTCACTTAGAGTTATGGTCTCAAGGTGTATTCATCTTCCTACAAATGACTCAAGTTTATCTTTTTATCACAGTAGTACTCCATTGTGCATAAATGCTACATTTTTTTTATCCAGCCATCTGTTGATGGACGTGTAGGCTGCTTTCAAGATTTGCCTTAATGTTGCTAAATGGGCATGTAATTTTAATTTAAAAAGAGCCAAGTAAGAATAACAGTAAAATGGGAAATAAATTCACTGTAGTAAATTTATATTAAAAGCTAACATACAGTTTTATCTGCCATCAAGTACTCTGTAATCCTGTAGTAAGCAGTGGTAAACATTTATACCTACTAAGTTTGAGGAACCCTGTAGGTATTGATTGCTGCTTTTGGAGCAATTCAATAGGGCAGAGGTGAGATTAGGAAACAAAAAGAAAAGCAAGGATTATATCAGCTCTGTTAGTACAATATTTGGAGGTTACAAGGAGCAACCCGAGAGAGAAGTTTACTGAGTAAGTAAACTCAGTTTGCACAACTTCTGGTAGCCTACAATTTATTTAAACTAAAAATCAAAACTTTGTAGGACAAAAACATTTTATTTTTTCAAAGACAAAGACTTTGAGTTTCCAGGCGGTTAAACTGATCATGGCAACAGTCAGTGTCCCCCAGGACCCTGCCAGTGAGCACTGCAGCAGCCACGGACAGGATAACACACCCCAGGCTACCCCTGGGCCTCCAGATTGTAACATGGGGCAGCGCAGTAATTTCTCCCTTTGCATCGGGAGCCTAAATCCCAGAGGTTAATGTACCCAGAGTAAGATAAGCACCAGAAAAAGCCACACAGACACACTGTAGCCAGGCTGCGATGAGGAGCATATTCAGTCAGCATCTGCTGGTTTCCTGACACAATTCAATTTATTACCTTAAACTGACAGGGCCGGGGATGTAGCTCAGTGGTGCCACTGCCTGCCTGGCAAGTTCAAGGCCCTGAGTTTGATCCCCGGTACCAAAAAAAAAAAAAAGTTAAACTGACTATAGGTTTATTTCACCGTTGCATCAAAACTCTGTTTTTTGCATTAAAGGTATATATGCACATCTGTTTTTGTTAATGACTTTGGTAACACAAAATCCCTTAATTTTTTTTTTTCAAAATCAAGGATTTTTGTTTTGGTTTTAGTTTTTAAAATCAAACCTATCAGATGCTCATTGGGCCAGCTGTGAAACAGCCAAAAGCAAACTGGTGGCCAAGCTCCTGCATCAGCACAAGGTGACATTTTAAACCTTTCCCCCTTGTCTCCCACTTGGCCTGACCACTGTTCCAGTGCCTTTCAGGACAAATGAAGAAATAAGACAGCTGCTCTCTCGTGAAGTTTTCTCCCAACAAGGAAAACACTGCCCGCCTTGTCAGCACCTTGTGATGAGCCACATTCACAGGCGCTTCCTTCTCTTTGAAAATGTTCAGTTTTGAGCATTTTGAGCAGAAGCGCTCTGTGCTGCTGTGGGGCAAGGGGTGGAATTCCTCTTTCAATGTCTGCATGGAATCAAGACCTCCTTGCCCCCTGCAGTCCTTTTTCCTTAAAGGAGAGCCGCCAATCAGCTAGAGTTTTGTCTTCCTAGACCTTTCCCTTTCCTACAGTGCTGCGTGCACAGGTGGTGATAGGCATGTGCCATTTTTGATTCTTTTCAAACTGTAAATAGCATTTTATGGAACGTACTTCATTTCAGTCCTTGATGGTGTCATGTGCTTACTGAAGTGCTGATGTAATTGAAAGAATTAACATTTGTATCTGTAAGGGTGTGGGCCTGCCAATCATTTGAATTTGTAAAATCTGCAACACTCAAATAAAGAGCATGAAAAATTATCCTCCACATGACAGTCAAGCTGCAAACTAAACTACAGACTACTTTACTCCCAGATCTTAAGGACTCTAGTAATTTCCCACCAAATTCAAAATAAAATCCGGATCTTCTACAAGGACTCGCAGGCTCTGCCTGCTTTGCTGCCCATCTGCTTCCCCTCACCCTCCTCCTCCCCTCTGCTGTCTCCTCCTCAGGCTCCAGAGCTGCGCACACCTTGCTCCCCCTTGGCCTCCCACAGCCTCTGCTGCTTCCTTGTCCAGCCCAGCCAGGCGTCTTTTCAGCACAGCCTTTCCAGGACCTTCTCCGACCTCTCTTTCTGGCCTTTCACCCTTTTAAAAAAAGTTATTCTTTATGGTACTTACACTACTTAGTGCATTTTCTTCCTGGTGTGGTATATTTCATATTGGGCTGTAAGCACATGAAAGTAGAGACTGTTCATTTCTACCTTCTGAAGATTCATAGTGAATGAATCAACATACTGAATACGCTCATTAACTCATAGCTCATGTCCCAGGGAAATGTTGAAGAATCTCCACAAAGTCTGCCAAATTTTTTAAAAAGTGCCCTGGGTGGTGAGTTACATCCCAGGGATGCGCTCTCATGTCCCTGTGACATATTTGGAAAAACTCCGGGACTGTGGTGGTCTGGGCTTGGCCCACTCACTCAGGGGCTGCAGCTCTGGACCAACATTGTGTAGAAATGAAACACACATTTTCTCTGCAGGCAGCTGGAGCTTCCTCATCAACACTAGCAACCGCACATGGCCTTAGGGCCTCAAGAAATTCATTCTGAACCCTAGAGACAGATCTCCAAGGATCACAGAAGAAATTTAGAGGAAGGGAGACACAGCCTAGTAAATTTTTGAGAAATGCTAGGTTAAAAGGCCAAGGTTTTGTTGCTACTAGATTTTTGTTCTCTGATTACTGTGGTGGGTGCGAATTTCTAACCTGTTACAGCATATGTGTACCCCAAACCTGTTCTATCACGGAGCGTTAATCACAGAACTTCTTGGGGAATTGGCATTGTCGCTGTGTGCTATAGGATTCACTTTGTCGGGTGCTATGTTAAACACGATCGCAAAACAGTTCATGCAGTGAAGGTGTTAAAATCTTCAGCTTCCCTTTGTCAGCCCAGTGTATGTTTTAGATGTCCTAAAATAGAATATAGTAATAGAAAGGAGAAGCAGAAATTTACTAAATGAAGCTAGGGGTGGGGTTCTGGGCCCATAATCCCAGCACTCACTCGGAGGCTGAGGCAAGATCACTGGAGTTCAAGGCAGCCCGAACTACATAGCAAGACCCCGTCTCCAAAAACCAAAACAACAACAATAAGAGAAGAAAAGAAGAAAGCAATTTACTAAACGTCTTTCTTATTCCCCCTTTCCTATTTCTTCAGCTTTTCCCTTTTCACAGGTTTGTGAAATCAGTTTATCAAATAGTGAACCTAAACAGGAACAGGCCCCGTTAGCTGCTTCCTCTCCACCTTGGACCCCACCCCTCCGTCCCGCAGGGACACCTCCGGAGGAGAACACGTCCTTCAGGCTCTGTCCTGTGCCCCCACCCACCCTCGGGCTCTGAGCTGAGCTCTTCTGACCTCTCAGTAGATCCCAGTGGCTCCGTCTTGCTATGGACCCGGCGTCAGTTAAATATTCTCCTTCCTTGACCTCTCTAGACTTTTCAACTTGCATAACCTCCATTTGGACCCCATCACTGGAATTCTGCAATTCTAGATACCTCTGATATTCTTTTAAATATTCTATCCTTTCCTCTGAAGTTTTCTGATCCTCGCCACTGACTAGAAAATGTTGGAGGTTTTGTTTTTTCTCTCTTAAAAACGCTGCTACTTGGGCTTTGTTCTCCTTGCTACTGTTCTTACCCTAAGCACTTGACTGTTTACTCTAAAGCATCCACTCCCTTAGTCTAAATCATATGCCAGGGCTGACGTTGCTAAAACCACCTACACTGAACACTCAAGCCAGGACAGCCACTGTGAGCTCCAACAGTTGCTTACATAAGTGAGTGTGTCACAGGACTCACAAACTCAACATTTCTGAAAACAAACTCATTAGTTCCTCTCCCTGTCTACTTAGTGCTTCCTTTCTTAGTAGTTCTTTCTACAAATAGCCATCTGTTGGTTTCCATTTTTAGCTGTGCTGCACTTTACCTGTCCCACTACACTTGCCTGTCCCAAGGACAAACATTATTTCAATCTCAATGACTGCTGAGTGCTCAGTGTATCTCAGTACCCAGCCATATTTCTAGTGCATAAATAGTAGTTTTATTTTTTCAAATGATGGTAGATGTGTAGAATTCAGTACATAAATTTGAGTGGGCTATATTCAAAAAAATAATTGAAAAATGATAGCTAATATTTACTAGAAAGTTACATCCTGAAATATTCTGTATAGTGAATTATTTATGCTTTATAATTTAATGAGAAAAGTACTGACATTTTGTGATTGAACAAACTAAAGTTTAGATTAAGTAACTTGTCTAAATGTATGAACTAGTGACTGACACACCCTTACCATTTTTCCTCTCAGGCCCTTCTTTGAATGGAAATCTGTGTGATGATATGATGATATCCAGATGGCTATTTAAAAATATGTAAATTTGTGTAAACAATTCAAAAGCTAATCAGAACTCTGAAAGTTTGATTAGAATTCTGATTCACTTGTGTTTATTTATAGAGACATAGTTAATGGTTAGCAACTCATCTGTTAGTTAATCTGTTGCATGAACAGTTTAATAAAGTAGATAGTACCTCCATCTTAAATCCAAACATCCAAGAATATGATAAAACTCTGAGTTGATGTCAGTTGAAAAATCTAGACAGGGGCTACACAGTGCCATAAAACTATGCTACTTGAGGACACGACAAGTCCTAACAATTGCTTAGGACTGGCTCAATATGTTGAATACAGAGTTGGAATAAATTGTACTTGGTTTTGTTTTTTAGTCAGTACAGTGGCAGCAATGTGTAGACTCTACTATGTGACAGATCCTTATGACTCTTGACCAACAGATTTCAGGTCTTTAGGGAGGTCCAACACTGCAGACTGGAAAATCCTGGGTTGTAGAAAGCACACATATTTTTAAAGAGTAGTAGCAAACAAGGTTGTGATATACCACCTCCCTCACCCTGACCTGTGGAACGCTACATAAGCAAATTTGAACATTGTTATTCCATTTGCGAAGGAGTTTGTAATGTCCACCTACATTAATAATTATTATTGCCTGGAAGAAAAAATACAGCAAATATTTCCAGTCATTCAAAGTATTTTTTAAAAAAGATCTTTGTATAGTGAAAAGCACTGAAATAGAAGCCAGGGGAAATGGAATTTGCCCTAAACTTTCGCTACTTGAAGGAAACCAACTACTTCTCTTTGGGTTTTATGACCCCACCCTTGAACTGAGGGTGTGTTATTCTAGGTTGCCTCTGAAAGGCCAGTTTGAAATTCTAGGTCCTCAGAAACATCCAAGCTCAGAGAGAACTGAACTACCCTTTGATAGAATGTGATGACTAAGTCACAGAATGATAAAGGAAGGAAGGACCATGGAGTTCAGCTGTTCCAACTTCCCTTCTTCCATGTGAGAAGGACGTTAGAGCCAGAGGAGCAGGTAGTTGACTGGAGCCGAGATATGGGGAAAGCTAGAAGTGGAAGAAGTGAGTGACCCTTGGCTATAGGCTTTGCCATCTGCCTAAGAGCATTTCCTTGATTTCTGGAGGAAAGAATGATAGAAAGAGGAGGAAGAGAGTAAAGAGGAAGGAAATGAACAAAGAATCAAGATGTGTTCTGTACACGTACCAACTCCCCAGGATGAATGTGATCACTATATACTACAAATATGGGCTAATATAAACAGAAAGAAAATCAACAACATAGGAAAGCATGTTTTCCTTTCCACCCTGATGACTCCCTGTGGCCATGTACATGGTCTGCTCGAAGAATGGAGCCATGGCGGTGAGTGTGTGGTCCCATGTGACTTTCCTTTTTATCCTTGCTATATTGCTCCTTTCCACTGTTACCGTTCTTATAACAAGATGTGCAAGAATCACATTTGGAAAAGTTCAACCAGCATCCCCTGGAGGCAACTCCTAGAGGGACCAGCGAATGATGTCTTCCAGGGGACTGTACTCAGCACTCGGTTACTCTTTTTGTGAGTGAGGTCAGCTACTGTTCCTTGGATAATAATATATATTTCACTTGCTAACTAAAATAGCATATGTTGCGTGTAAATGTTTTAAAGTAAGTAGATGTATAATACAGTGTGAAATGGTTGTATAATATAAAGGAGAAACAAAATTATTTAGATAATAACCTTAGAAACAATTTATTCTCATGCTTTTGAATTCTTTTCTAAAAATTTAAGACTGCAAAATGAGCGTTTTCACTGTTGCCACAGTCTTTGTAATTAACATTGAACATTAATGATAATTGTGGTGTGATTAAAATTTTTTAAGTCTCCATGAAATGCTCATAAGCTAAGAAGTGTAGCAGTCTAGCAGGTTATAGTAAATCTTTCAGACTTAGCAATCATATGCAATACATTTCCTTAGTCTAGCATAGTACTTAATGTTAGGTTTGATTCCTTAGAAAACAGTTAAAGTTGAATAAGTTTGTAATGCACAATGATAAGCAGGAAAGTAAGAAACCTTAAAATGAATAGAGTTTATACTTGCAAAATCGTTATTTCGTGTTCCTAAAGTTTTGATATTGATTAGAAATACAAATGTTAGTTCCTACCGCCAAGGCTCAGATCCCTGGGTAGGAGCCGTGACTCGCTACTTCCGTACTTACGGTGCTCCTGGGGTCCGCATACTCAATCCCAAGTGTGGCCATGGCTTTCACGATGGCTAGGATGGACTGCAGAGTGTTGCTGTAGACCACTGCTTTGAACTCCAAGCACTCCTGCTCACTGTACCCGTTCTTGTGGATGATCCTACAGTGGAACATGGGCAGCTTTTGCAAGAGGAAGTTGATAGTAACATCAGAGCACATCAGCAACAAATTATTAGAATGCAGTTACACTATGTCTTCATTAAAAGGGAAAAAATGTGGACCCTAAGGATGTATTAAGTCAGAACAATTTTGTGCTTTTGTATTTTTAAGGTCTTCGTCCTCTAATGCAATATTTTCTATTTGGGGAGGTTAGTCATGCTAGATATGAAGAGGATTTAGTACTTATTATAGATTAAAAGCTTTCTTTAAATGGGTAAATCATAAGGATTTTATTTAGAATGTGCATTCCAGATTTCTAGGCCAAAGGTACACTCAGGAGTCTGAAACTTTAGGGTGTGTTTACGTCGCGCCTGGAGAGGAAGAGCAGTCATTGAGTGGCATCGGTGTCTTTTCCTACCACTTAGGACAGCTGGGAAACAAACAGGAGTGCGTGGTTTCTATTTACAGCACGCACAAAGCTTTCTTCCCCGCGGGTACTCGCTCCGCTGCGCCCTTGTCCTGGGCCGGCGTCTGTGTACGTGCCCGGGCGTCCTCAGGGCTTCCCTTGGCTCCAGTCCTGTCTTCCTTCCACTCATTCAGCCACCAAACGCCTCACTGATGATGGCTTGGAGTGAGCGCCTAAAATAGCTTCACCTAGGCAGAGCCAAGTCTCTGGGTAGACTTGTGTTATTTTGTGTGTTTGTTTTTGTGCTACTGGGGACCGACACTGACTTAGATCTCTCTGTATGTGCATTTTCATGTTTTATGTGTTTAAATCATTTTATTCTCACACTTTTCCATATTTTAAATCATTCTTGAAATTTTTCAGAAGTATATTTAGAATAGTATATTTAGAATATCAGCAGTTAAAATTTCTCAGTTCACCACATATTTTGAAAACAATATTTCTAACACTTCACTCTAATATGTAATTTTACAAAGTATGGTGAGAAATATTGATTTCTTAACCCCTTGGCCTTAATGGTTTGCTTTAGAATTATTGTTTGCTAATTCACAAAGATGAACATTTTTGTTTGAAATAAGATTTGATTTTTATTTTGTACATAGAGAAGCTAAACTGAATTATTTATCTTCTGTTTAATAGATACTTGAGCTTTGTGAATGTCCATGTGGTCTCTCCTCGTGCGTATGGTTCTACATAACTGGTTTTGGGTCTGCATATGGTAAGGCAGCCACCTATCCATCCATCATATTTATTGTGGAGAATCCCCGATTTTCTCTTTTCTCATTTAACTGTGGTTGTGGCTTACTATATTTAAAAGCTTTTATTTTTTATAGCCAAATGACTTAGCAATTAAAAAAAAAACTATTTAAGCTCAAAAGATGGAAAGATGGAGCAGATGAGACGGGTTTAAGTGTGACGGGACCCTGAAAGAGAAGAGCCGGAGGGTACAGCTGAATGTCGTAAAGGAAGAAGGGGAGACCGGTTCTAGGGTGGACCTGAGGACCCGGAATGATTAGGACCAGGGGCCTGGACAAAGGAGCCTTCTTTCCAGGGACAGGAGAAAGGGCGAACATTGTGCTGCACATGAGGTTACGGGGAAGTTTGAAATTGAGACTGAAATATTGGTTGATATGCAACTGACATGAAATCATAACATGGAAAAAAATAGTGATGTTGTCACTAGACAGTGTTACCATTGAGTGGTGTCACTCCCTGACACAAGAAAGATCCAGAATCTTTAACAGAAAATTTAAAAGTAGGCTCAAAAACGACTCCACCTTCTCCTCTTACAGCAGTGGTTGTCCTCTCCGATTTGCTAACAGTGACATCCGTAAGGTTCCACCAGCTCACTTCCTATCTATCCCAATTTCATCATTAGACATTGCATTTTTTAATTTTTAGAAGGTTTGTGTTCATTATTTACTTACCCAGAAATTCAGGCCTACTTATTTAAAGAAAATTCAGAAAAAATAAATTCAAAAGACACATCGAAATCCATGATAGTGATAATTTTGAATATGCATTCCATTTTCATACAAGCAAAATGCCAAAGAGGTGCAAATACTATTTTCACATTCACACTTAAGAGAAGCTTATTAGCGGTTAAATCTGTAGGCTGATGCCCGTCTCTCCCATGATGTGTGCAAGGTGAGCAGAGGACGCGACCCACAATGACCCCACCTTCTTGGCAGCCTGGAGTGCTCCATGGAAAGTGCTCCCAAAACATGGACCAGAAAGGAAGGAGGAAAGAGAGAAGGCAGGAAGGGAGGGAGGGAGGGAGGACAACAAGGCCCACGAGGACCCCAGTAATAATGCAAACCTGGGAACACAATGGCAGAACCGATCTTTTTCCCCAAAATAATTTCGATCCTCGCTAAATTACAAGAGTCAAAATTATGAAAATTAGATGACCAGAAGCCTATGAGGAGCTACTTTTAGGAAAAAAAAATTATGCCGTGGCAAGAACATCTTGAAGACAGTTGTTTAAAATGCGTTGTGCTGTTGTGGCTGAAAACGCTAAGCGCATTATCGTATTAATCAAAGTTTTCTTGTCTTTACAACTTAACAACTTGGAAATAACTTCCCGACTAATTTAAGAATCTCCAAAACCTTAATACAAGTTATTTGAGAAACACTCCAAAGTGCTTCTGTGAGCCTCGGAAGGCCATTGTATGCATTGACTTGTGATCAGTTTCCAGGACAAATAAAATTATCCACAAAGTCCAGCGTACAATTCAGAAATACCGAGCTCCTGCGGTCTTCTGTCCTGCTCAGCTTTCATTTCTAGATTTTGCTGCTACCTTCATACTGACAGTTGTTAGTGTGAGATTTTACACTTGAAGAATACTTGTCCTTTTATGGATTAATTACAAGTGGACCAATTACAAATTCCGAGTCTGTGTCATGGAAAAAAGTTTACTCTGCTTATTTACAATTTTGGGGGCAAAAATCTCATTTCCTCAAAAACACAAGTGGATCATTGATTGACATTTGTATAGCTTAGGCCAAAATATTAAAGCAGCTCTAGAACATTCTCAGAGGAATATATTAAAACATAGCTGCTTTTAGTATTTATCATGTTGAGAGTCCACATTTAAACGAAAAACAGAAATGACAATTTTATTCACCTTTTGTGCTTTCTGATACAGGAGAGAAGGACTATTTGCACGGCAACTATGGTAATTGTGCCACTACCTGTGATTTACAAGCGACTACCTATCTGCATTTCCAAACCATTTATTTTAAGGGTGGTCAAATACATTGATTGACATCAAACATGAAACATTTGAAATAGTTCAGGACTTACTTCATTTGCTTAACGATAGTACTTTTTCCAGATTCACCTGCTCCTGTAATAAAAAGAGGAGAATGTTATTAAGCGATACACAAATTTGTGCAAATATTCAAGCCTATCACTTTCTGCTGTGTAAATGTTTACCAGACCCCTCTCCTGGGGTAGCTTCTAAAGCAAGGAGTGTATATTGTTAAAAAATATTATAGTGTTCAAATGTAACTTGAGCATTTAATTATCTCCTGGCTTTGCAGCCCAAGGAAATAGTCCCCAGTTTTCATAGTTTCTAGGTCAGTCACTTCTCACAGAAGTTCCCCTGTACCTCCTATTTGAATCAATGACAAGAGAAGAAAGTCTTGGTGATAACCTCTTATTTCAAGACCTGTTCAAAGCCTATTTTGGGCCCTTCTTTCCAGCAGCCATTCTACCTTGGTACGCAGGTGAGATCTCTTCTGTTTAAATGAGCAGAGGTCGCTAATGACACTAAGCAAACCCAGGGAGCGGAGCGTTTAGGGTGAGGTGGGTGTGGGAATGTCTGGAAGTGTGTTCTGCACTCCTAGGTGCAGGGTAGGAGAAGGTGGGGCTAAGGCTGAGCAGCCAGCAGGACTAAAGAACTCCTTAGCATCTATCTGGAACATCTATTTTAGCTGATGATATACAATACAGAACCTGGTTGCAGTATCAAGTCAACTCTGCAAACACCATGTAGAGAAATACATAATGCACATCATGATTTGAAAGAGAGAAAACATGAACCCTCAATGAAAAAAGTGGTTGATTCAGGCTATGTCTCAGAGCCTTTTGAGGAAGTTTCTTGCCTACCATTTGCCTCCAAATAGTATCTCTCTGGGAAATGAAAACTAAGAAGCTCAAATACAAAATGTGATAACCCAGGTTTGAGGTCTATTTCCTTCCCTTTGCGGTGTGTGTGTGTGGGGTGTGTGTGTGTGTGTGTGTGTGTGTGTGCAATATCTTCAGTAAGTCCTTTAACCTCTGAATTTCCTTATCTATAAACTGAGAGTACTTACCTCATAGGAACATTAGAGGATTCTCATGACATAGTAAGCATGGAATTGTTTGAAAACTATAGTGTAAAACATAAAGTAGTGGTATCTGAGAATCTCAGCACCTAGAAACTTTGCCATCCAGTAGCTTTTGTGGATATTCTACAAATGTATTTAGCGAGTGAACTTTATAAAAGAATGTTGACTCATATCACAATGTATCTAAAGTTAATTTGAAATTATACACAAACTTAGAAATGAAACCTAAAATTATAGAAGTTTTAGAGAAATTCATACATGAAAAATCTTCACAATCCTGAACTAGGCAAAAAGTTAGAAAAGATACAAATAAATGAACAAAAGTAAAAAAAATTGACAAACTGGACTATCAAATTTAAGAAAAGATAAAGGGACAAACCACTGTCTAGAAGATAATATTTACCAGGTATACATCAGGCATAGGGTAGGTATCCAATTGAGTAAGTTCTATGGGGCTCAGAAGATTAACTTAAGGATACTTTAAATGGTATACATATGAAAAGATCCTAAAAAAAACTATGACTCTGGAGAATGACAATGAAAGAACTTGATGAAAGTTTTTATTTACTATGGTTTGCAAGCAGTTTGTCCTCTCTAAAACTTGTTGAAATATAATCCCGGTGGGCAGATATCAAGAGAACCAGATGAAACTTTTAAAGAGTTGGTTAAGTCTCTGCCTTTATGAATGGTTTAGTCCATTTATGCAGTTAATGAATAATAAAATAACTGATCATATCAAGAGTCATTCTGATATCTTGCTCCTTCTGTATCTCTCACTGTGCGATGTCCTGTACAATCTTGAGTACCACCAGATGCATTTTTCTTTATAATTTACCCAGTCTTAGTATTGTGGTATTAACAACAGGAAATGGGCTAAGACATCCATCCATGAATCTTAGACATGCTGGGGTAGGTGAGAGGAGTGAATTTAGGTAACTGAGAAATTCAAAGTTCTGGTTTTATACATAAGAGAAACAAAACACAGCAATTCACGAGAAATGAGTTGTCTAATAACATAAATTAGGTCCAAAATTTTTAAATAAAAACACAATAAAGTTTGCTGAAGCAAACTCAGCATTTTATACTTAATGCAAAGTCATATCATTTAAAATGTGTCTTAGACTACAATCTACATTTGTCAGTAAAAATATGATACTGAGCCATGTGCACCAGAGGGTGATCTGAAACCCCAGTGAGCAGACTATTTAGTCCTCTAATACTAATTTCTTTGTCTCTAGGAGAGGCAGAGGACACATTATGGTCACTTCCAGAAACTGGATCTCAGGATATCTTGAAATCTAAATGTATCATTAATTCTGGACAGATTTCAAAGTTGCAGTTGAGATGTGTTAGTAGTTCTCATAAATCCAGATAGACCTTTCTCCAGCATGGCAGTCAACTGCCTTCTTTTACCAAAACTAGCATGATTTTTATGTAAGCAGAAGCAGCATGATTTTTAGTAACCCCAGACCTAAAGGTTTTACTCAAATTACATTAATATATAGGGAATTAGAGAAACCTGCAGACCCTATTTAGATATTTATTTCCACTCTCCACCATTCTTCCTCTTCCTACTCTTCCTTTTTTCCCTAACATTTATCTTTCTCCACTTGCTGTACATATTTCATGTATTGTTTTTAAGTTTTCCTGTTTGCCCTCCATTGTGGTAAGATAAATTCCAAAAGAGCAAGTATTTCTGTTTGGATCACTGAGGTATCTAAAGCACTTAGATTTGTGCCTAACTCATAGAATTTCAATGAAACCATTGAATTCTTTAAACTCAAGCTTCAAAACTACAATTCTTTCCTTTGTACCATATGCCATTTTTCTCATTGTAATATTTCTGTATGATTTATGTTTTCCTAAGCCTTGATGAACTGATATAACTACACCAAAATTTAATTCTATTTCACAGCAGTTTTTTGCTGTCCCTGGCTTGGTTAAATGTATCCAGTTTCTGCAGTTGTCTGAAGCGACTACCTGCCTCATGTAATCTTGAGTAGTCAAAGTGGTGAAGCTTTGGACAATAATGTCTCATTGCCTGGAGATGATACTTAGATTTTTTCCTCTACTAAGCACCCAGAATTCAACCTTTTATGATTTTACAGTAGTCTACTCCCTACCACGGGCAGGGAAATTGATAAAGTTGATGAATGTAACAACTGAAATAATTTGCTGAGAATTCTTCATAGAATTTACTTAACATAATCAAACACAAACTGATAGACTGGGCATAACCATATCCCTTCATAGAGATCGTTATGCCCGAGAATGGAACATCTAAGAAAATATAACCATGTCAGAATATCACCACACCCACGGTGAGAAGACAGCTGACCATGCTACTTGGTGGGGCACTAGTTATTATGGGAGTGCTGGAAGAGAATGATCGGCATCTAGGTATGCTGGCTTCAGAGGTGGGATGGGATCCACTGTTGAATGAGTTATCCAGTAACAGTAGAAGGGGGTATAAGAAACTGAGGCATCATCCTAAACAGACGACAGTTTTGTAGACTACAACTCCTTCAAATATATTCATTATTTTTACCGACTTGAAAATTAGAAGGCAAAGGGTGTGGAAGAAATTCCACGGGCTCATTGGACATGCCAATATTAGCTCATGCAGGTGTGCACTATGTTTTGTCTGGTCAGGGTGCAAATACCAGGAAAAATCACTGTGGAGAAAAACTGGGACTGAGAACAGAATGTCTCCTTTCTGAGTATCAATTGAATTTCCTTCAGTAATGTTTCATTTTATGTGATTTCTACAATGAAGTGAAATTATATAGAGCACTTTTGTTAAAATGAAATATCTACTTTGAGAATAAGAAACATTTCTAATTTTTTTCTTTTGAATTGTTCTTTTTTAAAATTAGTGCCTGTTTATGGTACATAATGACTACATTCATTGTGTGGAGTTGGTACATGTATGGAACACATCTTAATTCTTTTATTATTCCTTTCCTTTCTCCTTCATTTCTCCACCTCCATCCCTCTCTTCCCTTTTGCAAAAGTTCTATCTCCTTGTTTCCTATCTAGAATTTGGGTGCAGGGAAGTGGCTCAGTAATATGTTTATGCCTAACATGTGGGAGGCCTTGGATTTGATTCCCATCACAACACACACACACACACATGCAGGTGTGCATGCACACCCAAATTTTCCAGAGCTGTATGAGCAAGGTACAAGGTGCCCAAGTACTGAATCAATTAAAAACCACTGTTGGTCAGTTTTTAAAAAACACAATCACAAATAGATCCACTTATTCATGCCATATTTCTATTAAAGACTAGTCAAAATTTATCATAAATTTAGGGGGAAAGTGATTTGTAGACCACATCAGAAAACTAATGTACATTCAGAATGGTCTTCTGACCATAGCCCATTTTCCCCCATCCTCTAAGGGATCTCTGAATTACACTACCCATTGCATTGCAAATGCAAGATAAATAATTGTTACTTGGTATTGTTTAGGGAACAATGACAAGGACAAAACTCATACATTTTCAGGAGAGGTGCAATTTCTTGGAGTATTTTCAGTCCCTTTGCTTGAATCCAAAAGTCCTTTCGGTTGAATTCCACAGATGTGGAACACATGAATGTGGACAGCCATACTGATGACACTGAGGCTGGAATGTCCAGTTATTTCTGAGCCTAGAGAATGTGCTTTTCCTTACCAATTCTTGCAACTAGCTGATAATTCACTGTGTCTAAAGTAAGCAAAATTGTCAGTCCCTTCTAAAAAATAGCCAGTGCATTTTAATGAAACTATAGATTAAGAATGAATACTTTCCCTCAGATGTCTTTTTAAAGGTGTCTAGACCATCATTGTTCCCAGATAAACTTTGGTGTTCTGTTGGACATGAATCTTCAGTATAGTCAGCTACCACGTCAGCATGGAAATTCCTAAAGAATCTCCACTGCTTACTAACTTCAGAAATGAACTATGCAGTCCTATTCACATGTTGATTGTAGGTCTTAGTTCACAATTGCCTTTCTATTCTTGCAAGATTAGA